GATCATCATGATGATAATAATCACCAAGAGCATTAATATCAGATTTAACTCGGCTTTAAGAGCTTACCGGCTGCCACCTTTTGAGGTCTTTCCCTCGATTTCTGCCGAAATGAAGGGAAAGTTTCCCGTGTGTCAGGAGTAAAAACTCGGGTCCCTTCATCAGCTGCTCATCTGAAATTTGCTTGGCACCATCTATGGCGAAAGAAGTCTCCTGCAAAAATCTTGCGTGACCCTAGTCCCAAGTTAATTTTTTGTGACTCTGGGGCACACTCAGTGACCTTAAAATTATTCTGATGTGTTTATTTACTTTTCAGCTGTTTCTGACGATCGTCTGCACACTCACATCTGATTTAGCACGAAAGGCCATTTTAACCCTAACACCTTAATTCATCGTCTCCTTGCAAACACGCTCTATTGTTCATACTGTTTTAAAGAAACACATGAAAGGGGGTGTCTTAACATTTGTTTCAAACTCTTAATAATACAGCATGAGATTGCTCCCCACTTCTTCCTGAAATATCCGGATAAATGATTAACTGAAAACCACTCTGGCCTCAGCTTTTCAGGTGATAGATCTGGGAATCGGAGATGTTGCTTAGCTGCCACTCAGTTTCGTGCTTTTCCCTGGATTTCCCATTGAAGCTTATGATCCCCTTTAATTAAATGCAAAACCATTTCGAGGGAATACATTTCACTTTGAAATTTAGTCCCGGCTTTCAGGGGAAAGGGATTGCAGCGGAGGAGAGGGGTAGGAGGAAGAGGAGGAGACAAGAGGGACAGGAGGGAAGGGGACCTGACTACACACTTTCTCTGTCTCTTCCTTAAAATTAAAATAAGAACCAGGTCTTTTAGTGGCAAAGGGTAAGCCGCTGTCCCCGGACTTTCTAGGTTTGGCTACCAAGTCAGACCAAAGCACCAGTTACAACAAAGTGCTGTTGTTAGAATGGACAAAGAACTTTTTACTCATTTCAGGGACAGTAGGCAGATTTTAAAAAAAAAAAAAAAAAAAAAGATTTGAAGGCAGTTTGATAGCTGATTAGTAATAAGTTTGTCCATGACGTTTGTTAGTAGGAAATACTTCTGTTGATTGACTGATCGACTATCATATTATTGACCAGGATTATTGCAACGATATCCATATCTTACAGCCTTGTTATTCAGCTGTTTTCAGGACATAATTCTATTTATTTTTTTATTTTTAGTGTAGCTGAAATGCCCTTTTATTTCCATTTCCTCTCATGCGTCTGCATTTGGGCGCATTTTCACGCGTTTGTGGAAAGCAACCCAACAGAGAACCACCGCCAAAAAAAAAACCAACCCAAAACAAAACAAAAAAACCACCAACCAAAAAAACTCCAACCCCAAGACTTAATGTATGCACAGAAAATTGTAAACATGTAAAGAACTGAAAGCTTCACGCTGAGTTTCGCCATGCTCCATTTCCCCACCATTTCCTGCTGTCGTTTTAAAGCGATCTCACTCATCTAGAGATCCCGTTTGCAGGAGCAGTATGCTTATAATTACTAACAAATCAAGCGGCTACTGTTGCTCTCCCGGTTTATTGATAAGCTGAAGAGAAATGGAAGGGAGAGAAATGACAAAGAGGCTGGAAGTAACCACAGAAAGAGAAAGAGAGAAAGAAAGAGAGAGAGAAAAAAAGAAAAAAAGAGAGAGAGAGAGAAAGAGGAAAAGATAAAGAAGGGGAAAAAGAGAAACAAGATAAATGAGAGAGGGAGAGAGAATGAAAGACAGAATGAAAGAAAGAAAGAAAGAAAGAAAGAAAGAAAGAAAGAAAGAAAGAAAGAAAAAGAAGGAAGAGATTTTGGAAGGGGGGATTATGTATACACACAGCAAATAGAGTTTGGAAGTGAAAGAAACTCGAATATTTTTTGCTGGGGATAACAAGAAGTAAATGGGATAGAGTTACAGCAGAAGTGGTGGGGACGCTGCGTCTATACATGTGTGTTGTTCTGTATGACTTCAGCAGTTATGGCAGTCCCATACCAACTGGGAAAGTTGGTATCGACTAAAAATATACTCTGCGTTACAGTTTATTTACAAACACGCAGGGATTTGACACATGCAGCTGCACACACATATCTCCACCCACTAAATCCTCCACTTTGTATTATCTCTGGTAATGTCTGGGCTAAATCTAAAATGCTATAGCCATGATAAACATATAGATATGATATAGATAGAGATAATTCATTCCATGGCAAACACTTTTTTTGAGGCAGCATTAGGTAATTTACAGAAGATATAGAGTCTAGATAGAATACATCTCTCTGAAGCTATGAAATTGCAATAGATATGCTTACACCGCCTGGTAAGCTTCTAAAATGGGTTTAGAGTTATTAGGCTCCAATTGATGGGTATGTTCCTGTGGTCCTTTTTGGGGAGGCAGTGGCAGGGAGAAAAATTGAGGAGCTCTCAGCATAGCAGGGAAGGGAGCCAGCCTGTTTCCCAAAAGCAATTTGCAAGGAAAAAAACTACTGAGCACGTGAAAATCCATATTTCAAAGGTTAACTAATGTAATGAGTGCTGCAAAAGGCCAAAGCGAGTGGGGTGAGGTACATTTAAGCATTGCACGGGTCCCTCTCTCTTTAGTGAGTTTGGACTGAGATCAGATGTTCGTGGAATTGCTGCCTCTTGTTTAATTTCTCAGTTCACTGGACAGTGACCTGATAAACTGGTCACTAAATATAGCCACTCTAAAGGTGTACTCGAACCACTGAGCCCGTGTGTTTGGTCGAAGGAAAAAAAAAATGCCAGTCACGAAAATCTGTCTGGTGGCACTGCTTTAATCTAGCTCTTTTTTTTTTTTTCTTTTTTTCTTTTTTTCTTGATGTTTCACTGGAATGACGTTGCAAAACATCGTGCATGAAATAAGTGATAAATCTATGTATAATGGAGGGAAAAGAGATTTTTTTTTTTCCTTTGGCTGCCAGTACTGCCTCTGATACCCCAAACGAGTCTTTTCCTATAGAATCAATGGCAAAAAAAAAAAAAAAAAAAAAAAATCCTATTAATAGCAACGAAAGCAGGAGTGGGCCTCTAACTCTTTTATAACTGTTTCTGTGCCGTTCTCAAACTATTTGAAACCTCCTTTATGAGCTGCATAAAGTGCCTAACTAAAAATAATAGAGAAATAGGAATCCATTTCACTTTCCGATTCCCTGAAGTAAAGCCACTCAAAATAATTTGTTTATACTGGAGACTATATACAAGGCATAAGAAGCAATATGTATATCTAGAATCGACATGCCTTTTGGTTTTTAGCTGTTATAGAGCTTTTATTGTGGGGGTCTGGTCTGGCAGTAGGAAATGATCTGTAATAAAAACAGTGAAACACGGTTGTGTCTATTCCATACACTGAGGTTATAAAATTGGCAATTGCCCAGTAGTTAGCACTTGGTAATATATTAGGATACCCGATCTTATTGTTTAGCAGCTCCAGACGACTTAAATATCCCCTCAACCCTAATGGTTTGATTCTCCAGATATGTTGCAAATAAACAGGGTTTTTTATGACTTAACTGACATGTATTATAACTACCCAAATAGCTGGCATATGTGCATAATAGAACCCTATTATTTGCCGAATTGGTTTCGCAATTGATTGAGTGGAAATGGGAGACCGTGAAGTAGTATCTGCTCGACGAGGGTGTGTAATCAATTAGTCTTCTCCTCTCGAACATGCCCACTGGACTACCAGGGCTCTACCACCAGCACCCCCCCCCCCCCCTTTTTGTTCCAGCCACTGTCTCCTTCCTACTGAAATTTCATTTCGGTGTATATTTTCTATAAGGAAAGGCGTGTGGCCGCGATTCCGAGAGGAAGCAGCAGTAGCAGCTGTCAGCTCTTATTAACTCCTGCATAAAACATACCTTAAGTACGGTTTGTTATCAATTACTTGCAGAAATGAAACAACTGGGGAAGTGCAGCGAGGCTCCCTATAAATTAAAGTGATCGGTTGATTGATTAGAGCACCCGCTGTAAATCATAACAGTTACACGGAATGGTGAGGGAGCTCTTTGAGCGCCTTTGTAAACAAAATTCATGTCATGGGGGAATTGCTCTCATTTTTAGTTTAGTCAAATTCTTGTTGTTTTGTTTATTTCTGAGTGTGTCTGGTTGCTATTACAGGAATTGGTTCTTACAATCCCCTTGGTTACCCTTTAAATAACCTCACTAATTTCTCAGAGAAAAGAAAGATTTCGTTCTACCGTGGACAGGATAACATGTTTTTCTTTTATTTAGTTTCTCTTTATGGTTTTCTTTTATTTTTGCACCCATAACTACCTTTAAATGTGCGTTACAGTAACTAGATCAGCTTTATTTAGGGGTAGGACAGTCCCTGTTACTTTACGGACAGCACAATATGATCAAGGTGACGAAATGCTATGGTTAGATCAGTATTTTTTTTTTTCCTGGTGTTCATTTTTCTGAAGGAAAAGACTAATTTTATTTCATAAACCAGACTTAATAAAAACACAAAGCAATAACAGAGCTGTCTTCTGGTTGCTGTATCCTCCAGCTTGATACTTATTTAAGACAGCAACTCCCTTCGTGTAGTGAATTTAGTCCTGGCTCAGCTTAGCAGTAATGGAAACGTTAGCAAAAAAAAAGTAAATTTTCCTTTTTTTTTTCCCCTCCAGAAAGGCGCTGTCCGTTGTACAAAAGGCATCGGGGGGCTCTGGGTGAGACACAGGCTCAAACCCGAAAGTTGCCAGGTGCTTGCCAATACGTATTTTATTTCCCAATGATCAAACCCTGCATAGAGGCTGTACTGCACCACCCTTCTCTCCATCCATCATTCATGGAACAGTTTCCTAGAGGTTGGGGGAGCAGCACCCTTTAGGTTGCTGGAGGTAGCCAGAGATTCAAAATTCCCTTTCATTTTGCTGTTCTGTGCATGTCAGAGAGACTGTGGTTATCCTGTGCTCCTTCGTGGCATGATGGTTTCTCTCTCCCCTCTTCCCCTTTTCTTTCTCCAGTTCCGGTTCCTCCAAAATCTGTTACTTCTTTGATGATGAATAAAGATGGCTTCCTGGGTGGAATTTCAGTCAATACCGGAGAGGTGTTTTGCTCTGTACCTGGCCGCTTGTCTTTGCTTAGTTCTACTTCAAAGTATAAAGTAACTGTGGGAGAAGTTCAAAGGCGTCTTTCTCCTCCAGAGTGTCTGAATGCATCCCTCCTAGGAGGAGTACTTAGAAGGTAAGAGGCTGGGGTGAGGGTGTGAACATGCCCGTCTGTGGGCAGCCATGCATGCACCAGAAATACTTGGTCAACGGTAAAGGTGATTGCAAATACGCATTGATCTTGTTGTCATAAATGTGCGTCTAACGTTCAGGGTAAGGTGAAAATACGCTGTGCTCAGACATCAAGATGAATGTATGGAAACTAGAGAAAGATTTGGCATTGGGCAGCTTCTATCAAAGAACCCCCAAATGAAGGAACTGAAACAAGACTATTTTTGCTCCTGTACATGCACACACTTTTTCTCTTTTCTCCTTCTCTTCACCCTTCTCGCTTAGGAAACAGAAAAAAAATGCCAGGATGGGCACGTTGTAGTTAGACGTTGGAGGATGAACTGGATGTATTTCAGGACCTGATGTCTTTCTAGGGATTTCCTAGATAAATCCATGAGGCTTCCTCTATGTGGCAATAACGATAAGGCAATTAACACAGTGCCACACAAAACATTAGTGAAATTGGCGGGGGATTAATAGGGAACTTGTGAGGTAGATAAGTACCTGACTAAAGAAAAGCCATCAACAGATAGCTTTGAAAGTCAGAAACTTAGTGCTTCATCTAGAGAAAGTTGCTAGAGGAATTACAGTTGGTCTTGAGGCCTTTGCTGTTTAACGCTTGTGCAAATCACCCACTAATGTCCTGGTGGATTTTGCTGAAGACCTCAAAATAGTTGCCTTTATTGATACTGAGGAAAATGAGGAGCAAGGGAGAACCTGGAGGCCTGGTTGCCACTCAATTATATCAAGAGGGACATCGTGCATTTAGGTACCAGCAACAAGATTTAAGCTCCTAGGTCATCAGTTAGAAAGACTAGCAGGGAGAAAGGCCTTTACCTTCTTGACAGTGACTGAAAGACTGTGAATCGTCAGTGTGACTTGTCTGTAAGAAAGGTGAGCTAAGGTTCTATCTCCGGTCAGAACAGGGAAGAAGTCATGATATGATATGGAGGCACCGGTTCACTCAAGTCAATAGAAAGCTGAGAGGGGGTAAGACTTCATTTGCTACGTGTGAGGTATACCCCAGACTGGAAAATAAAGCATAACTTCAAGACAGGAACAAATGCATATTAATTGATCCTGAATAAATTTCAGATCATGTTTAAATGTTGCTAATCTTAGAGGAGGAAATATCTTGCCAACTCCTATAGCAGCAATTGGGCAACGTTGACTCTAAGATGTTTTAAAATGAAGTTGTTCTTTTTTTTTTTTTTTTCCCCTGCAAAAAAAATTCTGTGATGACGTCAGGGGCTCCAGCTCCGTGTCTGGAGATGAGGGGGAAAGTCCTGCTACATGCAGTCAGTCACCCAAAAATACACGTGAGAATTAGGGGCTCCTAAAATAGATGCTGTTCCACGTGAATGTCTGTAATCATTGTTGAGCTGTGATCCTTGCCAGGGAGAGCAGCAGAGATTTTTACTCACAGATGCTAACCTGCCTGTTCATTCTGTACAACTACAAATGGAGCAGGGAGAAGGTCTGAGAGATGCACTGTAGAAAATGTAATTACCAAAGGTAAAGAAACATCATTATTGAACTTCAGTGGATTTCTGGAGGCGGCCCAAGCCATAATCATTGGCTGCTGCTGACTTCAGTTCCTATCTTGAATCTAAATTTTAGGCAAGGTTTTAGTTCGGAGCAGATGAAATATAGAAAGCTGCTCTCTTGCAAATTTGCCATCTAGCCCTACTTATTTTCATATAAAATAGTGGGAAGCCAGTCTGACTTTTCTGTCGTTTCCGGTTTCCTTTCGCTAAGTGTGACTGCTAATTCTGAAACAAATTTGCAGTAAATACGAGGAGGTATTTGGGACAGACACTGCTCTTAGGTGCCAAAACTCTCCTTGTTTTCGCAGGTGGCAAGGTTTCATCCCTGGGGGTTTACATATGTATAGGCGTCCCAACAATAGCTCTGTATTTCCCACCTATAGCTCACTCATCCTTTTATTGTCCTTATCAGTAACCTCCGACAGATATTTAAATCTTCCTTCAGGCAATCAATTCCCTCTACATAACGCACCCTGCCTTCAGGTGAGCTCTTCCTCTCAGCATCGCCTTTCCGCACAAGAACACACTCACACACACGCACGAAATGGTTTAATAAATATTTTCCTCCTTTTCTATTTATCCACAGGCACACAAATTCTCCCTTCGAGCCTTTCAGATTCCACCCCCTCTCCTCGTTCTTCTTCCCATTCCGGCTCTTTCCTGGAAAAAACGAGGATTTCATTCTCCTCCTCTACCTTTCTACCCAACTCCTCACTCCATCCTAATACCAGTTAGAGTCATACACTAGGAACCCATTTGCTCTCTAGATTAGGATCCTGTACATTAATTACTGCTCTCTGGCATTATTTGATTTCCCTGGATAAAATAGGGAGAAAAATGGGTTCATCCCCACTCCCACCCCTGGGAGAAATTAAGCAAATCTCAGCAAACCCGAACAGAAATCAACACACTCCAAGTCTTTAACGTCGACTGAAAACCCTCCCAGGCTCCACTGACTGCACAGACTAAACGTTTCTTCCAGGAACACTACGGGGTTAATCACGATGTTAATTTCTTTGCAATTCTAGAGCCAAATCGAAAAACGGGGGGAGATCTTTGCGAGAAAGGCTAGAAAAAATCGGTTTGAATTTACCAGCCGGCAGGCGTAAGGCAGCAAATGTCACTTTACTCACCTCCCTGGTGGAAGGTAAGCCGAGGGTCGCAGCTCCCTTCACACCCCTGCCTGCTCTCAACTCCCGTCTGACATTTTACGACCCCCCCTCCTCCCCGCCCCCCCCCCGCCTAAAAAAATAAAAACCAAACCAACAAACAAACCAAGAAAACTTTCGGGATCAGGTGGGAAAACCTTGCAGAGGTGAAATTCAGGGCGGGTTAGGGTGAACACCAGCAGGGCTAAGGATCCCATTCCTAAACACGAAGTCACTGGCTAGTGATTCCTCTTGGTGGCAAGAATGAGGCTTTCTGTGTGTGTGTGTGTGTGTCTGTGTGTGTGTATGTGTGTATATATGCGTGTGATTCTGCAGGGCAGTCCCATTCCTCATTGCTATTAATTTCCAGCCTATGCTCTCCGACTCCACGTCTACTCCATCCTCCCTCTAATTCGCTCCTCCCGGGCTTATTTATGGCCATTACAGGACGCTCATTGAGGAAAAATAATATAGAATTTTTTGTTTTGTTTTGTTTTTAAGAAATCAGAGCCATTGAAGAGTCGCAGGGTGCGGTTTACCTTAAGGTGGCTAGAACTGAACAGAGAGAAAAGCTATTCCTCAGGAAGGAGAAAGGGAAGGGGGAAGGTGAAGTTTCACCTCATTTCAAGTCAAGTGATGTCATTTTGGTGTTCGGCGTGTTCCTTTGCTTCCTTGTTACTGTACTGAAAAGTAAAATGTAGAGCCACTAATATGTTTAGGATATGTGCGTGTTTATGCTAAGAGAAGTTGGACCTTCTCCAAAAAACATAACCAGAATAGTATGGATGCAGTTATGAATTATATGTATCTGCGTTACACATACACACCGAGAGGCGTGTAAATAATCCACTTATCTCTTCTGCTTATAAGCATGCATAAACATTTGTGCTAGATATTAACTTTTCGACTCTTTTGATTGAGTTATGTGAGCGATAAGACCTTAGTGCATGCAGAGCTGAAGGCAGGATCGCAAAAAAAATGGGGGCTGATAGAAAGGAGCTCCTCCTGGTACCCGCGTACAGGTTACACCGAGTGTGCAAAGCCCCGCGTGGGTTAGGGATATAGGGTCGTGCTATAGGAGACGTGAAGACGTGACAACTGCCCTTTCACACCGGGGTTAGTGCGGCTTCACCCCCGCCGTGTGTATGAAAACCGGTACACTCTACCCACAGCAAAATCAGTCCATCCCCGAAGCTGGCTTGAAGTTCAAAAGCCTGTGCGGTTGTAGAGTGATGATGCTAAAATCTCTGTCGAGTGTGCAATAAGCTGTACAATACCTTCACCTCCCCTGATTTCTTTACAAATCAACAGTTTACCTTGAGAGAGCTCCCTCCTTGTGGAAGCAGCTGCACCTGCTAGAGATTTACCTTCTTTTCTGCCACCGGCCAGGTTTTAGCCTTGCTGGTATTGTATCGCCAAGAGCAGAAACGCTCCGGCCAGCCCCGGCCGGGATTACCGGAGCGGTGCCCGGGGGGACCCTGCCCGGAGCGGGGTGAGGGCGGCGGGGACTCCCCGGGCTCCGCCGGGTGCCCTTGCTTTCATTAAGTGGTTTGGTGATTAGCGAGAAGCCTTGGAAAGCAGAAGATGACGTTGAAAAGCAACTCCTGATCGTTAAAAATAATGTGGTCCTGGAGTTATTAGATATATCTGTTTTGCGTGTTGGAAATCTTCCCCCTGGTCCCTCAGGCGATGCTTTAAAGGGTTTAATGCTTTATTCTAGAGGGGCTGAGCTATAATCTGGTAGAATCCCCCTAGAGTCTGAAGGTTTCTTTCCCCCCCCCTCCTCTTTTCCTTCTTTCTGCAGCTACTGTCTTCTTGTGGCATGAAGTACATCAGTAGGAGTTGGATGACACGAACCTCTGGAGGCAAGAAACCTGAAACCAGGCAGGCAGGAGAAGTGACAATTAGAATTAGAGTTAGAATAATGATTATTTTTCACCAAAAAAAAGGTTACCATTCGTTGCTATCTTTCCACCGGGCAGAGAGGAGTTCCTGTTGTATGATGGTCAGTTAAGGAATCAGATTAATAATTTCCATGGGACGAAATGCAGTTATCTCCATCATTTTACAGATGTGGCGACAATGGTGATAATGATGCAAGTGCCCTCTGTGTGTGTATAAACAGGTGTATATATAAAGTCCCACAAAGAATTGGCATTAATATTAACACTATGTCCACATCTGTAAAATTTTGGACAGTGATCTGGCGTACTGAACCAGGAACGGTTTCTTTGGTCTCAAGAGAAGTTTGGGTCCTTTTGTCTTTCAGGATTTAACGAGTTTCCCCTCGCTTTTTTTTTTTTTTTTTTGGCCCAGTTAATTTGAAAGTGTGTGTGTGTGCCTGTATATATGTGTGTACTTTTCCCACAGTTCTGCACAATCAGCTTGCATGGGTACATACCATCCCGAGTGTATTATAGCAAAGACAAATCTCATCAGCTGAAAATCTGTCCCAGCAACTTACTTTTGCCCCCAAAATAGGGTTTATGGAGGGAAAACGTATACCTGGAGCCTGTCCCTAAGGTACAAGGGATGTTATAAGGTTTACTAAACACGGCCCGAAAGAGCTGGGCTCTCCCAGAGGGAGCGGTGGGCAGCAGCCCATCGCCGCACGGTGCCCGGGCAGGTCGGAGCCAGCCCAGCCCGGGGCCGGCGGTGCCCGGAGGTGTTAATTCCCCCCTTCTCATTCCCTCCAGGTGAGGCCGTTCATTTAGCTCGGGATTTTGGGTACATCTGCGAAACGGAATTCCCAGCCAAAGCTGTTTCTGAATACCTGAACAGACAGCACACGGACCCCAGCGACCTCCACTCCAGGAAAAACATGCTACTTGCTACAAAGTGAGTGCGAAGTTAACATCCCCTCCATCCCTTCGGCCTTTCCCCGAGAAAATCCTCCCCCTCCTTAAACTCTTCCTCTAAGCTCGTTTCGAAAGCAGACGGAATTTCCCGTTCTTAAATTACAACGACCCCGAGGGGAGGAAGGATGCTCCTAAGGCCCTATGGGCAGGGCAGACCCTATAGGCTCTGCATCCCTCTGCAGTGAGGTCCCCGGTCCCTGCTGTCCCTACAGAGTATGTAGGTGACTGTCCCCTAGCTACTATACACCATTTCCAAGCCACCCCCAGTTAAAAAATCTTTATGGAAAAAGGGCCAAAAATCTCTATTTCGCTTCTACAGTATGTCTTTCTGTCCCTCCTGCTGCTCACACACACCTGTTTGTCTGCTACCGAATTGCAAAGTCCTTTCCATGCAATTTAATTAAAAAAAAAAAAAAAAAGAAAAGAAAAAGCCCCAACACCATGTACTGCTAATGATCCTCCGTTTGGTCCCTCCAACCCATCTTTCTCCCTTGGGACTTTCTCGGTGGATGTGATGATTTACACTTGGCTCTGCCTCCCAGGATACTAAGTGGGTGCTTCATAGTTTGCTCGGGTCCTCGGCAGTGGGTGCTGTGTGTGTCCACACATCTTCATCTATCCAGCAAAGAAAAGAGGGGGGCAAAAAAAGAGAGAGAGAAAAAGAAAGAAAAATTAAAAAATACTAGCCCGAACAGCTCTCATTTATTTCATACTCTGGGACGTGACTTGCCTCCGATGACAGTGTAATTTAAAGAAATATATGGAGGGTTGAAAAATCATTTGCTCAAATTTGTCCAGATGTTTTTTATACGTGATTGGAATTTGATTGCCCTTTTCCGCAGGGTCAGAAGATATTAATGTCCCAGAACTTTAATTGCTCGCAGACCCTGCTTTGCTCTTTGAAGATGTAAAATGTTGGACTCATTACTGTTTGTTCTCCAAATTCAAAGTTTCCTCTCTTGCACTTACTTAATGGATAATACACATAGAAGTAGACCTTTATCTTTCCCCACCCTCTGAAATCTTTAACCCACTGGGAATTTCAGAGAGTTTCAGAGGGTGAGAGCTGAGTGCCTTTTTAAAGGGTTTCTTTTTTCTTTTTCTTTTTCTTTTTC